GCGCGGCGGGGTAGTGGGGTCCGCAAGCCAGGCTGCCGGGACGGAGTGCTTGGTAAACACCGACCGCCCGAGGCTCCCGCGGCGGCTCTGTCCCTGTCATTATTCCCGGCCGCTTGTTCTCCCGTGACGGTTTGGAAGGAGCTCCCCGTGCCCGAGAAATCCTCTATTTTAAACCTCGCAGGATCTCTGCTCCTTCCTCCGCGGGAGCTCTAAACAGAGCCGGAGCTCCTCGCATCAAGAGCGCGGGTCATCTGGGGAAGTTCTGACTTACTCCGGCCAGCACCGAGCTAAGGTGCCACCGTCCCCACTCGCTTCTTACATTTTCTTTATTATCCTGCCCTGTCCCTAGCACGGCTCCTCAGCGCGGAAAGAAATTCCTAATCCTGGCATTCAAAGCCCGCAATTTGTCTCCGCATTAATTTCCCACTTCCCTTCCCACCTCCAGCCTCAGCCACTCGCCCCAGCACATTAGAATATGAATCATTCTCTAAAGATGGCCTTTCAATCCCTCTTTTTCCTATGCTACATCCCCTCCTCAGCGGGGAACGTCCTCACCCCTGACTTCTTGAAGGTTCAGTTCAAATTCCGGCTCCCCACAGACTTTTGCAAGTTTCCCCTCCTTCCTCCCTGTTCATATTGCTTTTTCTGCCCTCAAAGGTTTGTGCCCTCCTGTTCTCCCTGGTGGCCTGGGGCAGGGCCCTGGAAAATCAGGTGCACAGTGAGTGCGTATTAACTAACGGCTGACCTGATCTTACCTGGGCCATGACCTGTGAGTTTAGGTGAGGACCATCACGTCAGTGGGGAGGTATTCATGCCTGTTCAGCGGCAGAGCACTTGCCCAACAGGTTTGAGGCTCTGGGTTCAATCCTCAGTACCATACAGAACAATATGAGAGAGAGCAAGAGCGAGAGGGAGAGAGACTGAAAACATTTTATAAAATGTTAGGAGAAGCCAGCATGTCTGTAAACTCAGAACTCTGGGAGGCTGAGGCAGGAAGATTGCAAATTCAAGCCCAGCCTGGACAATTTAGTGACTTAGCAAGACACTCTCTCCAAAAAAGCGGGGGCAAGAAGGATGAGTATATAATTCAGTGAGAAAGCCCTGGGTTCAATCCTCAGTCCTGAAAAAGAAAAAAAATGTTGAAGGGAGCATCTAAATTTTGAATCAGCTTTCTTCAGGATGTAAGTTTGTAGGGAAACAGGACTGCAGGCACCCAGGAAGTGGCTACTCTACTGGAGAGGGCCTGTGAAGTGCGGCTTATTCCTCTAAAGGTGAGGTTTTTCAGAAAGCCACACTTTGGGGTGCATTTATGAGAGAACTCCCCACTACTGGGAGAATGCGGGCCATCATGACAGCCTTCAACAAATGAGCAACAGCTCTCTGTTTGAGCTGTTTGATGCTACTGGGAGAAATATGGAACATGATCTGTCAGGTACTGAATTTCTTGTGGCTTTGTAGTGAAGCCTTCTTGCTGACATTTCCTCTGTTATTCTCCAGGAAAAGCAGCATGCTTTAAATTCCATCGGTGGTGGCCGGATGGGCCGGTGTCCTTTAAGCGACTCAGGGAGTGTCCACACAGCACCGACTCTCCCCGGTACATGCAGAATGTTCAGTGAATCAGAAGGATTTTCCTGCCTCTGCTAATTTGGAACAATCAAAACCAATCCAGGTTCTAACGAATTTCAGCCTCAAATTCTTGAGGGTGTGGCTTCAGGAATGACAGAGATCTCATTGCTATTTAACAGTTCAAGAAGCTTCCTTCGCGTTTTGTTCTATGTAGGTCAAGGCTAAAACCTGTATTAAGAGTTATCATTTTTTCTTTTGTACCTTTTTTCCCCCAGTGGAGTTAGGGATTAAAGCCAGGGACTCATGCAAGTGAGCTACACCCCGGCATCAGAACTCAGGACTTCTGATTCCGTACTTCATCACATTTTGTCAATGTCAGGGGAATTTACTGCATTAGAGCAGTTGAACTAGCTCTCCCTTAGTAATATTACTTCACTAGGAGATAAGCATTTGAAATATTTCCTCAGGTACAGAAAGTTTTCCAAAAGAGATCTAAGAGTTGGGCATGATTGTGCATGCCTGTAATTCTAGCACTGTGGGAGGCTGAGGCAGGAAGATTGCAAATTTGATTACATTCCTGTAATCCCAGCCTGAGCAGTTTGGTGATTTAGTAAGACTACCAAAATAATGAATAAAAAGGACTGAGGAGGTAGCTCAGTGCAAAGGCTCTGGGTTTTTTGTTTTTTGAGACAGGGTCTCACTATGTACTTGAGACTGACTTGGAACTCACTATGTAGTCCAGGCTGGTCTCAAACTCACAGCGATCCTCCTGCCTTAGCCTCCCAAGTGCTGAGATTACAGACGTGTGCCACCATGCCCGACACAGAGGCTCTGGGTTTAATCCACAGTGCCACAAAATGAATAAATGAATGAGTCAATCGATTCAAACCATAATTCTGATCATACAG